CATTTGCTTATGCGCAGAACAAGGAGAGTCGTCGTTCTGCTATGCTTCCGTCTACCTCTTCTGATTGATCTGCCTTGGCCTTTGCACCCTCTCGAGATGGGGATCATAGTTCCCGTCCTCCTCCTGAGAAGGATACCTTCTTTTGTGACTATTGTCGTCGCCCTCGCCACACCCGTGAGACTTGTTAGAAGTTGCATAGGTTGCCATCTAGGGGTCGTGGAGATTGTTCTGGTTCTCGAGGGGGTCGCTCTGGTCCGTCTAAAGGCCGAGGGCCTAATACCCAAGCCCATCATTTTGATACAGTTAAGCCACAGTCTCTCGTTCCGGTTGTTTCATCTGCTGATATCTCAGGGCTTTCTACTTCTGAGTTGGAGGTTACTCTTCGCCACTTGCTAAACCGTCGGGCATCTAGTTCATCTTCAGGTAACTTTACCCATTCAGGTAACGTAGCTTCTTCTACAAGTGCTTTCCTATCTCATTAAATGTTGTCTTGTATTATCGATTCTGGTGCTTTTGACCGTATATTTGGGTCTTCTGATTTGTTCTCCGTATATACCCTTTCTTCAGGATAGGATAATTCATGCCACTATTTCTTCTGTGTTTGCGAAAGGTTTAATTCATACCACTGCTTCCCTTCTTTTGTCTTCTGTACTACATGTTCCCAATTTTAGTGTTAATCTTTTATCTTTGAGTCATATTACTGGGGACTTAAATTGTAGTGTGACCTTTTTTCCTGATCATTGTCTGTTTCAGGACCTTATCACGAGAAAGATGATTGGCAGTGTGGTAGAAACAAGAATGGTCTCTATATCCTAGATCAAGTAGACAAGCTGGTTCATTCATCCATTCAGTTACCATCTACCAAGGAAGACCTAGGGCTGTGGCACCATTGTCTTGGGCATCCATCTTTTTTGTTACTTAAGCATATTTTCCTTCAGTTTTTTTTGAAAAATAATGTTTCTGAGTTTCATTGTGAGTCGTGTCAACTTGGAAAACAACACAGAGCCTCTTTTGCTCCTTCTATTAGTAAAAGTTTAGTCTCTTTTTCATTGATTCATTTTGATGTATGGAGTCCCTCTCGTTTTATGTCTTTAAAGGGTCAACCTTTTTTCCTGATCATTGTCTGTTTCAGGACCTTATCACGAGAAAGATGATTGGCAGTGTGGTAGAAACAAGAATGGTCTCTATATCCTAGATCAAGTAGACAAGCTGGTTCATTCATCCATTCAGTTACCATCTACCAAGGAAGACCTATGGCTGTGGCACCATTGTCTTGGGCATCCATCTTTTTTGTTACTTAAGCATCTTTTCCTTTAGTTTTTTTTGAAAAATAATGTTTCTGAGTTTCATTGTGAGTCGTGTCAACTTGGAAAACAACACACAGTTTCTTTTGCTCCTTTTATTAATAAAAGTTTAGTTCATGTTTCATTGATTCATTCTGATGTATGGGGTCCCTCTCGTTTTGTGTCTTTAAAGGGTCACCGATGGTTTGTCACCTTTATTGATGATTGTTCTAGGACCACCTGGGTGTAGCTTATGAAGGACAAACGTGAGGTTTTTTCTGTGTTTTAAAATTTTCATAAAATGATTTGCACTTAGTTTGGGGCGGTTGTCAAAATTTTGCGTTTTGATAATGGGAATAATACATTGACTCTGGCCTTGCCAGCTATTTTGCCACTGATGGTATTATTCACCAAACTTCTTGTACCAATACCCCTCAATAGAATGGTGTTGCAGAGCGTAAAAACCGCCATCTTCTTGATATTGCGTGTTGTCTGTCCTTTGAAATGCGGTGTTCCTAGATCCTATTGGGGGGAAGTTGTTCTCACTACAGCCTTCCTCATCAATCGTCCGCCTACCCAAGTTCTCAACAAACACACTCCTCTTCAGGTTTTGTTAGGTCCCACTCTTCTAGTTTCTCCATTCCTTCCAAAAACTTTAGGTGTGTGTGCTTTGTTTATAACCATTCTCCTACCCGTGGTAAGTTGGATCCTAGGTCTCTTCGGTGTGTCTTCTTGGGTTACTCCGCCACACAAAAGGGTTACAAGTGTTATTATCCACCCTCTCGGAAATGGTTTATCTCTATGGATGTGCCTTTCTTTGAATCTCAGTCCTACTTCATGTCCTCCCTCGTGTCCCAATTATCCCTTCCGGGGGAGTCTTGGTGTGAAGCGATTCCTGTATCATTGCCATCAGTAATTGAGTTGGTTGAGAATGTTAATGGTGACCTAGCTATTGAGAATGTTGTGTCTGAATCCGTAGTGAAAGATGTTGAGTTTGAATCCACAGTGAAAGATGTTGAGTCTGAATCCACTGTGAAAGACGACAAAATTTATGTCAGGGACAAGGATAGGAAAAAAGTTATTTAGGTACGCGAGACTAATTCGGATTCTCCACTGCTATCTTCTCCTTCTGATGAGTGTCCAAAATCCTCTTCTTCTGATGCAACTCCAGGTAACTATTCTTTCTGATCTAGACGTTTCCATTGCTAAAAGGAAGAGGGTTAGGTCTTGTACTTAACATCCTATTTCTCATTTTGTCTCCTACACTAATCTGTCTTCTTCCTATAAAGCTTTTCTGTCTAAAATTTCTTCTGTGAGTCTTTCCTTCTAATTTTCAAGATGCTCTCCCTGCTCCTAAGGGGAAGCATGCCATGATGGAGGAGATGAGAGCCCTTGCTAAAAATGGCACTTGGAAATTGGCTGAGTTACCTAAGGGCAAACGACCTGTTAGATGTAAGTGGGTGTAAACCGTGAAGCATGAAGCCAATGGTTCAATTAAACGTTACAAGGCAAGATTGGTGGCCAAGGGCTTTACGCAAACTTATGGAGTAGACTACCAGGAGACATTTGCTCCTATTGCTAAGATGAACTCTGTCAGAGTCCTTCTTTTCCTTGCCTCTAATCTCGACTGGCCTCTCCATCAATTTGATGGGAAGAATGCTTTCCTTCATGGAGATTTGGAAGAAGTGTACATGGACATTCTCCCAGGCTTTGAGGATGTCAAAACCAAAGGAACAGTGTACCGACTATGCATGTCACTTTATGGACTCAAACAGTCTCCTAGGGCTTGATTTGAGAGGATTACTCAGGCCATGCTACGATATGGTTTCAAACAGAGTCAAATTGATCATACTTTGTTCGTGAAACACTCCTCACATGGTAAGACAACAGCTCTTATTGTTTATGTGGATGATATTGTACTCATAGGGGATGATGTTGAGGAGGTTCCTCGGTTAAAGGAGTATTTGGCCAATGAGTTTGAAATCAAAGACTTAGGCAGCTTGAAGTACTTTCTAGGTATTGAGGTTGCTCGGTCCAAAGATGGCATCTTCATATGTCAAAGAAAGTATGTGCTTGATTTTCAAAAAGAAACTGGTATGCTTGGAAGTAAAGCCTGTGATACACCACTAGAGCCTGGACTGAAGCTTAGTGAGGATCAATGAGGCGAGCTTGTAGACAGGGGGGGATACCAGAGACTAGTGGGTAAGCTTATCTACTTATCCCATTTGCGTCTTGAAATTGCTATTGCAGTGAGTATGGTTAGTTAGTTTATGCATGTTCCACGTGCAATTCACTTAGAGGCAGTTATGCGGATTCTGAGGTACTTGAAGTCTTCTCCGGGAAAGGGTCTCTATTTCTCAAAACACAGTCATCTTAGTTTGGAGGCATATACAGATACTGATTGGGCTGGATCAGTCACTGATAGAAGGTCAACCTCTTGCTATTGTACCTTTGTTGGAGGAAATCTAGTTACTTGGAGAAGCGAGAAACATAATGTAGTTGCGAGGTCCAGTGCAGAGGCTGAATTTAGAGTTATGACTCAGGGTGTGTGTGAGCTATTATGGATTAGACTATTTTTGAGGGATTTGGGGATTCATCAAACAGATTCTATGAGACTGTACTGTGACAATACGGTAGCCATCAATATAGCTCACAATCCAGTTCAGCAAGATAGGACCAAACATGTGGAGATTGATAGTCATTTTATCAAGGAAAAGCTCACTAGTGGCACTATATGTACGCAATTCGTGAGGTCTGGGGACCAACTAGCTGATGTTCTCACCAAAGGATTAGGGAATAAATCATTCCGTGACATTCTTAACAAGCTGGGCATGAGAGATATCTTTGCACCAGTTTGAGGGGGAATGTTAGAATGTGTTGGAATATTTCCTATTTTATTCTTATGTATATTCAGGATCCTTATTTTATGCCTTAGGGCACTCCTGTAATTATAGTGATGATTTGATATAAAAGGGGATGAGATACCACTCATACCTAACTTTTCTCTTCGCAAAATTGACAGTTGTATGGAATGGAGTGTTGGATAACAAAGAAACAACATGTAGATAAGATAAGTGTTACTGAAATGAGGATGCTAAGATGGATGTGTGGCAAGACTAGAAAAGACAGAATTGGGAAGGAGTATATTCGGGAATGGGTAGGAGTAGCACTGATAGAAGATGAGCTGAGAGAGAATAGATTGAGATGGTTTGGTCATATTCAACAGAGACCAACAAAGGCAGTAGTGAAGAGATGTAATGCAATGACGGTAGATGGAAGTGTTAGGAGACGGGGTAGACCTAGATTGACGTTGGGTAGCTTAGTAAATAGAGATATGAATCTACTTAATTTGACTAACGAAATGGTCTTTGATAGAGCCGCATGGAGAAGAAGGATTGATGTAGCCGACTCCATTTGATGGGACTTAAGGCTTAGTTTGGTTTGGTTTGGTTTAGTTTTTAACATTGATAAGGATTAACTTCTTGACCTTCTAATTAAGAGGATACAAAAGTGATCAATTGAACTAAACCAATTAATTTTTTTCTTCTATTCCCCATCTACCAAAAATCTACACCAAAAAGAACAAAAAAAAAAATGTTTGTCAGTGTCAGAAATTGAACCCAAAGATTTAATTGTAAGTAGACACAGATAATTATTAATGCCAATAGTACAACAATTTTTTTTTTTAATTTTTTGGGAGTCCCATACTACTGTAAAATGGTTCTTATTGAATATTTGTCTTCGGACATGGCTATGGCTGCTCTTGATGCTCTGATTTCCGTTGGAGGAAAAGTTGTCGAATTCTTGGTGGAGCCAGTTGGGCGTCAATTCAGTTATGTCCTTCATCGAATGGAATACATTGGAGATTTGAGAGACCAAGTTGAAAAGTTAGAGGCTCAGAGAAAAGATGTGGACGACTTCATTGACGTAGCAAAAAGGAATAGAGAAGAAATTCTAGAAAATGTCAAGAATTGGATTGAAAAAGTTGATGGGTTCATAGTAGAGGCTAAAAAGTTTCTAGAAGATGGTACCAATGTGAACCAGAAATGTTTCATTGGGTGGTTTCCTGATTTGGTCACACGTCGCCAGCTACGTAAAGAAGCAAAAGATAAAGTTGAGGTGGCTAAAGAGCTAGAAAAAGATGGCTACTTCAATAGCATATCCAAACCAGCTCGTCCCTTGGGGATAGAGTCCATACCCTCAGAAAGGCTTGTGACTTATGAGACCACAAATTTGGCAATGATGAGTGTAATGAAAGCACTAACTGATGACAAGATCTACTTTATTGGAATACATGGTCTCGGGGGTGTTGGAAAGACAACTTTAGTAAAAGAAATTTGGAAAAAAAGCTAAATCAGATAAGCTTTTTGATGAAGTTGTGATGGCTGTAGTGTCTCAAAACCCAGATATTAAAAAGATTCAAGATCAAATAGCTGTTATGTTGGGTTTCACCAAATTTACTGATCAGTCAAGTGAAGTTGAAAGAGGAAGCATGCTTTGTGCAAGGCTCAAGGATGTGAAAAAGGTCCTTATTATATTAGATGATGTTTGGGACAGACTTGAATTGACAACCTTGGGCATTCCACTTGGCCAAGATCATGAGGGCTGCAAAATCATAATCAAAACATGGTGTGAGCAAGTCTGCAGAACCATGGCAAAGGAATGGGAGAGGACAAAGATAGTTTGGCTTGATGTTTTATCTGAACAAGATTCATGGGACTTATTTAGAAAAAATGTTGGCGATGCTGTTGACTCTTCTGCGTTAAATGATGTTGCTAAAGAGATTTGTAAAGAATGTGGAGGTCTTCCCATAGCAGTAGTTACAGTTGGAAAAGCAATGTAAGGTAAATATAACCTTGAAGAATGGAAAAATGCAGCTCAAGAATTAAAAAAATCATTGCCAACAAACATTGAAGGTGTTGATCAACAAGTGTACAAAACTCTTAGGTTGAGCTATGATTACTTGCAAGATGAGGAAGCCAAGGATTGCTTCTTGCTTTGTTCTCTGTTTCCCGAGGATCATGACATCTTAATAGAAGACTTGGTACGGTATGGGATGGGGTTGAGATTATTCAAAAATGTTGATACAGTGCAGGAAGCTAGGAGTAGAGCAAAGTCAGTGATCAACAATCTCATAGCTTCATGTTTGTTATTAGCTAGTGATGTACAAGACTGCATCAAAATGCATGATGTTGTGCGTGATGTTGCCATATTTATAGGATCCAAAAAGCATTTTGTAAGAGCTGGTTGCAATTTGAAAGATTGGCCAAATGTGGATAGTTTGGATAAATACACAGGCATATCATTGATGAGAAATCAGATCAGTAACCTTCCTGAGGTCTTGGAATGTTCAAAGCTCCAAATATTACCATTTCAAGACAATCTAAATGCATGGTCATGTTCACATGAATTCCTTTCTAGGATAAGTGTTTTAGATTGGAGCCGACACTTCTACCCTCATCTTGACAATCCAATTTGTTGTCCTGATACTTTCAATAACCAAACGTGTCTTCGAACATTAGTTCTTGAAGGAATTAAGTTTGGGGACACTAAATTTCTTGAACAGTTAAAGATACTTGAAGTCCTTAACCTCAGGCGTGCCTTATTTTCTGAGGTACCAAATGCTATTAACTAATCTAAGGTTGTTGGACATGACTGGAAGCTTTCATGAATTTCTCATTCCGGCTGCAATGGTATCGCCTTTATGCCATTTGGAGGAGTTGTACTTGTTTGGCAGCGTAACTTGGAGGATTGGAGACTCTGCAGTAGAAGTAGCTACTGCACTAAGATCTTGGCCTCACCTAAAAGTGCTAACCATTTCCATACCTGACATTGCGCATATACCTAAGGACTTGGTTTTTCCTGAGCTGGAAAGTTTTATTATCTTTATCGGAAAATCGAGTTGGGGATATGAAAATTATTCCCCAAATTATTTGGAACTTGGAAATTCGGTTGGACCCATGGTTAATTGGAGTAAATGGCTAAAGATGGTGTTGAAGCGAGCTACGCATCTAAGTGTGGAGCATTTGCAGGACATGAAGAACATTTTTCCAAATTTACAAGCCGATGTAGAAGGTTTAAATGTCTTTGAGCATCTGAGGATTAAAGATTGTGTAAAAATAGATGTATTATTGATTGATGTTATAGTTTTGTACAAATGTGAGAGGCTCCTTATATAGGAGATATAGGTGTAGTAGGTGAAGTGGAGGTGGTAGTGGTGTAGGTGAAGTGGAGGTGGTAGTGGTGTAGTGGGTTAGGTTTAGTGGAGTAGGTGAGGTGGTAGTGGTGTAGGTGAAGATAAATTCTAACAGATTGTTGTCAAATTGAGTACTTGATCAACACAGAGGAATGGGGGGATTTCACCACAGGCACAACAACCTGATCTGCAATTGTTGTTTAACCTGGAAGAATTGAAACTCCAGAAATTGGATACTTTTGAAGGGATATGCCCAGGTGCACTTACTACTTCCAGCTGGGTGTGCTTCCCAAGGCTCAGAAGTTTGGTAGTTAACGCATGTCCTGAAGTTTGGAGAAGCTTTTGTATCAGCATGTGAGAAACTGGAACAAGTATTTGATTTTGGTCTATGGAAGTCCATTCATGTGGCAAACTGAAATATGTCTTCCAACCTTCCATAGCTCAAGCTCTTTATCTACTTGAAGTGCTTTGGGTAACTCGCTGTGAAGAAATGGAGCAAATTGTTGCTGCGAAGCAAAACAAAGGGCGTAAAGAAAAAGAAGAGAGAGTGGACTACAAGGTGGTTTCTGCACAGGAGGAGACGACTTTCCTTTTGAATGACCATCCTTGGAAATACTTACAGTGAGAGACTGCCCCAAAATGAAGACTTTCGCTGCCACTACTTCCTTTTGAATCAGTTTGTGCAAAACTGTTTCAAAGCCACCAAAAGGTACTTCTCTATTTTACAACATTTAACATATATATATGTATATATATATATATCAGGTAATTACTTACATTATGAGGCAATGTTTTTTTTCTTATTTTAATTTTTTTTTACAGTAAATTAAATTGGACCCTTGTCGATAACACTAATAAACTAGTAAATCAAGGGAGTATGTATTCATTGTGTTTGTATGATCCATATTCAACTAATTTTAAATTTACATCATGCACTTTAGTTTCGGAGTAAGTTTCAAGATGAAAATTCATGATACATTGCGTTTTTTAATGAAATACATATCAAATTATCAACTCCTCGTTGTGAGTAGTTGATAATTTAGTTTGTAGATAATTAGGAATCTCTAGTAATTTTGAATTATATTTTGTATATTTAAAAATACTCAAAAATTTTAATATACGGTCGAGATTCATTCAAAATGCGGACTTTACTCCCACTACATAAGAGTTGAATCTTAACCACATATTATTTTTCTAGGTATATTTTTGTGCATGAATTTTGCGCATAGAGAGGCCCTTTATTACACTCAAATAACATTTTAAATTTTTTTATATAGATTACACTTTTTAATGTAAAATTTATTGTTTTCTTCTTTTATTGCAGTTAAAATTTAATATATTGTCCTCTTTCGTGCATAGAATTTATTTTTATTTTTTAAGTGTTAAGTTTATGGATAAAGAAATTTTACTTTTTATTAGCCTTTTAGAATGAATGTTCATTTATGCCTTTAATATCGAAGCCCTTTGACTATCTTAAAATAAAAATAAAAATCGAAGGCCTTTGAACATGAGATAATAAATTATTTAATATTCTAGCAGCTACTCAGGGTAATGCTTCCTACAATACGTAGAATTTATAACCGTTTGAATAGTTCTATTTTTATTTGGTAGATTTTTATCAAATTTTAGTAAAGATCTTTGGACAATGAATTTTTTTTTAGGCCTTTGGATAAAGATGGAAGAGACTTGGTTGATTGAGATAATGCCTTCCTTAAATAAAAAAGAAAATGCTAACAATGGATTTCTTTTTTTCTTTTGTTTTTATGCCACTTAATAAATTTTATATTAGGTTTTGATTAGGATTTTTTTTTTTTTTTTGGTTTCAAGTTGTCGAATTCCAAAAGTGTGTCCTTAGGCGATCGCCTTAATGGCCTAATAATGATTGAGTTGTTATTAAGTCAACTATGCTACACTGCATGTATATTTATATTAGATATTTTATTTTTCTTTAGACCAAAAAAAATAAATTATGTACAATCAATCAAAATGTGATAGAGGCCATGATTTGGAGTGATGATAGAAAGTGTTATTTGCCAAAAAGTGGAAGAGGGGAAGAATACCTACTTGCTATCTCTCTTAGAGCAATTTGTGGTCTTTGTGCATTGCATAAGATCTTTATTCAATCGATAGGTAATCTGAAAATATTGTGAGTTTTCAGTATAAATTTTACTACATAAGGAATGAATAAAATTAATTGGTCTTTCAATCTGCATATTTTCTTTGAGGCCCATTCAACATACACTTGATAGATTTTGTCAACTTATGAAATTATGAATAGGTTGTTTAAATATCTTGTTTTCCATCTACGCAGACAATATTATCAGGTTTCTCACTCTTCATTCTTTTTTTTCGTTTTTTTTTGTCATTATGAATGTTTCCTATCATAATCTTTCCTAATTTTTTTTCTTTTCTTTTATTTTTTATTTTTATTTTTAGGCAAGACAGAATAGTACTCTTGAAGATGAAATCCACGCTGACTCTTAATTAGATTGTGAACCAGCTTATGAATTTATGAGGAATAACTCTTATGAGTAAGTGAACAATTCATGATTTACCTCAAGCTATACCCAAAAACAATACAATTCTTATCTGAAAGGAATTTTCTATTACAGAAAAATAGATATGTTCTGTGATTTTTTTTTTTTGAGTACTTTTTTCAGAATTTTTTTCTAAAGTCTATCCCATTTTTTAGGAAATAGCCAAAATGTTATTTCCAAAATTTGAAAAGCTATTTTTTGTGCAAAAATGAAAACAATATGAAGACAATGGTGTTTTTGATATTTTCATTTTTTTGTTTCTAAAAATAAAAAACAGAAAGGCGAACATTATATGTAGCAAAATATAGATATCTATATCCTTTATAGAAATATACTGCTAGATTATTATTGAGTTTTCATTTTCTTTTTTCAGTTGTCAACCATAAAGAATGTTGAGCTACTCTCTATGGTTATGTGATGTCTACCTTACTTACGATTTTATTGTGTAAGGGCATATGCTTCCTATGATTTGTGTTTCTAAATAATTGTCTTGCTTTGCAATATCAAAACTACTACTCTAAATAAAGGTATGTTTATCTAATGTGCGCTAAAGATTTGAAGAGTGAATAAAGGGGGAAAAAAAGAACCCACTGTGTGTGTAATTTTACTTTCTCTGCATTGTAATGGAGCTTGTATACAAAATTATTTATCTCAATTAACAATATTGTACGTTTGTTTTCATGCTTGTTTGTATCTGTGGTAAAAAATATATTGCAATTTGCTTTTTATTGAAATGTGATTGACTAATAATAATTTAGAGTACAACAATGAATTGTTGCTTGAATTTGTTAAGAGGAGATTGTAATTCATTTGAAGCAAGCTTTTGTTATGGAATCCAATGAGTCGATAGCTTGATTTTTGTTAGGGAATCCAAAGTGTCCATACATAGAATCAATGCACGTTATTTCAAACATGCATCCGCTTAAAGGCTTAAACATATAGGGGATGAATCCATCTAACATATATTAAGACTTTTCTTTTGCTTTTCTTCAGATATGGGACCTTTTTACTTCTCATATTTCTTAATCATTCAAGTGTAAAAATGGTGTTCAAAAGTCTCCAAGTAATCATGCTTGAATGCCTTCCAAACCCAAGTGGTTTCTGCACAAGAGACGACTTTCTTTTTGAAAGTTCATCCTTGGAGCAACTTAGAGTGAGAGAGTGCCCAAAATGAAGACTTTCGCTGCCGTTACTTCCGGCGGGATCCAAAGCACACCAAAACTGAAGGAAATTGTATCTGTTAACTTCAAGAAAATCCGCTATAGGGGATGGACTTGAATCAGTTTGTGCAAATCTATTTCAAAGTAGAGGTAATTCTATTTTATACATTATCATGTAATTAGGAAATTCTACACTTTAGATATGCCTTTTATTCGTACGACTTGGCGCCGCATTTCATTTGAAGTGGACTAAAGGTACAAAGTTTTCAAGAAATCCATAGAAATTCAGTTTGTGGGGACAAAAGTTATATCTTCAACGGATGGTTGTTCATTTAGTCAATTATTTTTTACTGTTAAGTTTTGAAATTCTTAGTAGCCGTTCTTTCCCAAGTAAGGATTGCTTGAGGTGATGCTTTAGAAGGAATGCTGGCTCATTTAGTCAATTAAAGTTCTGAAATTCTTAGTAGTTGTTCCTTCCCAAGTAAGGGTTGCTGGATGTGATGCTTTAGACGGAATGCGGGCGATGTTCTTGACTCCCCCACATTGAATGCCAAGGTTGGGCAATGGAAAGAGGCAACTTATAAACTTAAATAAATCATTTCGAAAAACCATTGAAGGCGTCGATCAATTAGTGTATGGAAGTCTTAAGTTGAGCAATGATTAGCTGCAGGATGAGGAATCCAAGTCCTGCTTGTTGCTTTTTGTTTTGTAAAACACCTCACTACCTTTTGGCCCAAGTAACCTATGGGTCGACCAACATGACCCAAAAGCTTAAGTCCAAGGTACTTAGTAGCAAGCTAGTAGTGCTCTATATGCCCAAGATCACCCATGCAAACTTCCGATGTGGGACGGGGTTGTTACAAATTTGTTTCCTGAGGAGGCTAACATCTCAATAGAAATTTTGGTTCGATATGACTGTGAGAAGTTGGAGGACGTTGTTGTAAAGAAAAACCTACGGAAAGAGGAACAAGAAGCTATAGTTGATAAGATGGTGTTCAAAAGTCTAAAAAAAAAACGGAACATCTTTCACATCTCTATAGTTTCTGTACCGGGAGATCTACTTTGAATGGTCATCCTCGGATGTGTAATTTAGAAAGATTGCTCTAAAATGAAGACTTTTACTTCTACCACTCCCTCCAGGGTCCAAAGCAAACCAAAACTGAAGACAATCAAAGTGGATGATGTTGGGATAATGTTCTGATTATGCAAAAGCACTTCAATGTCAAGGTAATCTCTCTCTCTCTCTCTGTGGTTTTGCCTCATTAAATATGCTGAAATGCTAGCTTCAAAATGCAGTTTCGTAGTTGGCGTAGGATTCCCATAAAAGATTGTGAATGCTTGCCTTGCTTTTGTCTTTTAACAGCTGTGTACTCTTGCCGTTTTGGGTGGTGTTAAGCTTTGTTGGGTCCTCTCTCTCTCTCACTCTGATTTTCTGGTTCCTGTTCGTTGGTGTCTTGCCAACTCTTTTTATTGATGTACATTGTTGTGTTTACTTTGCAACCATTTCAATTTCATCAATAAATTTCCCTTGTCCTGATCACAAAAATAAAAAATAAAAGAAATGCTGAAGAACACATTCTACGAACTTTGTCCAGAATATTTAGCCCAAATACATGGACCCTGTTTTGACATAGAAGTGAAATATAAAGGCTTGTTGAGTTGACTTTTGAGAACCATCAAACAAACATTTTGGACCATTTCAGTACTGGTGAACAATGAATTCACATTTTATAGTTTGCTTAAAATATATCTCTTGTATTCAGGAAGCACAGACTGCTTCTGAAGAGCAATATAAGAAACAATTCACTTTATCTCAATAATGCTCACCTTTTAGCTTGGGCAGGGGTGTGCTTTTTGTCATTAATGATTCTGAGCAAGTGCCTCACTTTGCACTATTTACTACTTTAAATAAAGGCCATGTTTACATTGTGATCTACTTAATTGTATTGTACATTTTTATAATACCTCGTAATCGATAGAAGAAAGTCTTTTCAACTCCAACGCTCCTATTCCGAGCGATTAAATTACTTAGATTGATAGAGCTAGCAAAACTACTTTATTCACTCCCATCTACATATATTCTTCATGTCATGAGTGTTTGTCAACTATTCCACATGCTATTTTGCATGACCAACACCAAAAAGAAAAAGTCGGAAAAGGTATCTTTTAATTATTGGACAGAGTAATTGATTGAGAATTGGCGTTTTAATAATTATATTTTTGTGTTCTCGTCCAATGCAAGGAAGACCATCGACATGCGGGTGAGCACACACATTAGCAGTAAGTTTTCATCTAACAAAAACCTTAACAAAACAATTGGGATTTGGAAGCAAATTTAGCAGGAATACACAATTTCACTGGAACAGACCAGCAAATTTGCAGGCCAACTCCATTTACCAATAACTCTAAAAACACTGCAGACTGTGCTATTAAACTGTTGTAAGTAAGGTTCTTTAATGGACAGCCCACTTGCCTTCTAAGTTCTTATCATTATATCTGTCATCATCATTATTTATGCATGTATTTCATTTTTGGAGACTTGTTGCCTAGTCTATTAATATGAAAATTCAGTGAGTCAAGCCTGTGTATAATCTTTTTCTCAAGAAAAAGGAAGAAAATCAAATGGAAAATGAAAAGAGAAAAAGGAGGAGCTGTATGTTCTTTCCAACCTTTCATCCCTGGAAACAAAGTATCAAGCATGTGCCAGATACATCAAACCAGGAAAAGAATATTTTTGTGAACTCTGCGGCAACCATTTGCCTTCCCTTGAATTCTAGCTTTGCTCTTTTCAATAATTTATGGAATTGAATATATAAATAATACTAACCGCAGTCCATTGCTTATTCTATTCATAAAACAAAGTTAAATATGTCTGAGTTAAGTTGAATTGTGTAAAAAGCTAACTTTTTGTCTGCATGAACTAAGTTGCATTGCATTCTATTCATAATGCAGAAACATGAAGGGATTTGGGGAGGGATTTGGAAAGGGAAAGGGAAAGGGAAAGGGAAAGGGAAAATGTGTGTGAAACTAGGTGAAATGTAAGTATATTTTATTCATATTTCACCTAACTTTTCATTTTCCCTTTCCAAATTCCTCCTCGAATCCCCCAACCAAACACAGTATAAGTGAATTGAAAGTCTAAATATTTTGGCATTTTCTTTACCTTAACGACATGTGAGTTGCAATTAGCATGATCTATAACTCATATGTAGACATACAAATAGCCGCTTTGGTCAAGAATAGTAGTTCTTTTTAAGTGACCTTAGTATGTAGGTTTTTTTTAGTATCTGAAGTATTAAATAGCTTTAAATTGTACCCCAAATAACACCATGCAAAAAATAAAAGGCAAGAAAGAAAGATTAAAAAAAAAAAATCATCTTCAATACTCATCATGTAAATTTGTTTCGGTAAAAAAAGTTGTTTGCATATTTTAGTGTTCCGTATAATGGAAAATAGAAATCAATGGAAGACAATTTTCAGCTTTCAACAGAAGATGACCTAATTTGGATGGAAAATGTTTTTCATTTTTTAAAAGCAAAAAATATTGCAGAAACATTTTCCAAGCAGTAGATTGAAAAAATTCGAGAAGATGCCAAGCGCTAGATTGAAAAACTTAATGGGTTCATAGGAAGGGCTAAAGAGTTTTTGGAAGGTGGAACTAATGTGAACAAGAGTGTTTTAATAGGTGGTTTTCTGATTTGGTCACACTTTTTTTTTTAAACAGATGATTTTGTCACACGTTTCCCTAGGAAAAGAAGCAAAAGAGAACGGATGAGGCTAAAATGTTATGGAACAAATCCAGCTCTACACATCCCATGGGGATATAATTCATTCCCTTTGAAAGGCTCGTGACCTATGAGACCACATATTTGACAATGTCAAATGACAATCAATTTCTTTGGGATACATTGTATTGGGGGTTGTTCGAAAGACGACTTTGGTAAAAGAAATTGGCAAGAAAAAAAAGCTAAATTGGACAAGCTTTTGATGAGATTTTGATGGCTATAGTGTCTTGGCACCCAGACATTAAAAATATTCAAGATCAAATAGCTGACATGTTGGGTTTGAGCGGGGACTCAATTGCATGGACCTCTAGGGCATTTATTTAATTTGTTTTAGGTTGCTTTGTCGAGTTTTGTGCATACATTGTGGTTGGGTTTTATTTAGAATTATTTTATTTTGTGGGCGGTTTGTGTCCCATTTAGTATATATATATATATATTTTTAGAAAGTTCGTTATGACTTGTTTTTCAATTGTGGCATGTCACTGGATTGAGTTTTGATTTATTTATTTCTGGGCCATCATCACATTTATTCTTTATGATTTTGGATTCATGTTTAGGCTTACGTGTGCCTTGGGCTAAGTCCCTGTGGGCCACGGCCGGTCATGCCCGGATTTGGGGTGTGACACCCAGACATTAAAAGTATTCAAGATCCAATAGCTTACATGTTGGGTTTGAGATTAATTGATCGTCCAAATGAAACTGAAAGATCAATTATATTATGTGCAAGACTGGAG